AAAGAGCCCGATGAACATTAACTTGCTTCACCCAGAAACCGATAAGTGCAGAATAAGTGTTAGTTTAAGATGTTCTGTTCTTGTTTAAATGTTTATACTCGGGCCGTCTGCTGCAGAAGATGTGTGTGCGTCGCTGTTTGTTTGAGCCGGAGGGTCAGTGGCCGCCGTCAAGACGTGGAATGTGTCGATGAACTGTGCACAGACACACATCCAGCTAGTTTATCCAGCCAGTCCACCTACAGCACCCGTTCCTCTGCAGCTATTTCAGTAGAGGTTAACGGCACTCGTATCTGCTTTCAGCCGGTGTGTTAGCAAAATAGTTTGCATTACCATATATGAATTACCAGATATATGAATATGGCAATTATTCAAAGTATCATCCCAGATAAAAAAGTAATTGGTCAAAGATCATAGGCATACATTTTATAGGCAAAATTGGCTCCCAAAAAGATTTTATATGTATTATATAATACGTTTGTATCATATATATATATATATATATATATATTAGATTTTAGATAATACTAACATTTAGTTAACATTTGCAGACTCCAGGATCTAGGCAAAATTGAGTGCAATTGTTGAGATCTTGTCTCAGACTCACACAATGTGAGGGTCTTTACCTCAGGAGAAACATCTGAGGAGCAGGAGACATAAATACAGCGGAAGTCTCTATTTATTCTCATTGCTGCCTAGGAGAAAAAAAAACGGAGATATTAAACAGACTCCAGCATCTGTAAACATCAGTTAACTTAAGTTGTTTATGTCTGTAATTTGGCCATCTTGTCTGCAAATCACTACAGAACCGTCCAAAACTCAAAACGGCTGCTTCTCAGTACAAACTCCTGCGAGTCTCTGATAGATACAGCGAATCATATAGTGAGAGACATGAATATCTAATGCAGTGGCAGCACATGACCTAGTTAAAGTGACAAAGCGTGGAGTGTATTTTGGTGTCGAGTCAGACACACTTTGTGCAAATATCCAGTTTCAGGTGTTGCAGAAGTGCAAAGGCACGTCAACGACTCGTATTTAACACTCGAGGCGCTGAATCACTCTGACACGCTTTACTAAGAAAATGTGTGTGCATTAATAATCATCAAATAACAATCCTCCTTAAAATACCTCAGTGAATCACTGCTCTTAAATAGCCTCTGTTGAGCTGTAACACTCATGAGACTTCAGACTCAAATTTCACAATCATATGTTTCAAAAATCATAAAGTGGTGTTAAAAATGAAGGCATATTTCAGTCCATATTTCAGCTCAAAATAATTTTTTGCATTATTTTACATAATTTTTAATGTATCTTTCTCCATTTGTACAGTGCAGGAATTCTTTACAATAATAAAATGTTTATAGCACGGTAGCCAGAATTTATTTTCCTTTTTATTTTGAGATGAAATATGACCCAGACTTGTTTTGTGAGGTTCATTCTTTCATGCTGTTCCAAGTTAGTTACTTCAAAGAATACCATGCAAGTGTAGCGATTACTCAGAAGCTGATAACGGTTCTCTAATTCAGTGTTTCTCAACCAGGGGTCTGTGGACCCCTAGTGGTCCTTGACGTAAGGCCAGGGGGTCAATATAAAGTATGAATTTTTGTATACATTTTTTATATTTTGACATGACATGTTCCCATGAAAGAAAAGTCCAATAAAGCTGATGATATGGCCAAATACTGGACAAGTCAGCTAACTTGAATTATACTTGACTGTATTTGGTCCTCACAAAGACACAAATGATACATAGATTAGTCCATTTTGTTCTGGGGGTCCTTGAGGATGGTTCTGAATTGGACTGGGGTCCGGTATGCCAAAAGGTTGAGATTCACTGACACGTAGAGGGAAAAGTAGTGATTTTCAGATGCTGTGTCGAGAACAGGTGGTGATATCTGATCAAACTGCATCCAAAACATGTTGAGCGCCGCACTTTTCCTCAGGGCTGCTTCATCTGCTTCAGGGCTCATCATGCGTGACATTTTCCTTTCAACACATCTGTGATGACCAGGCTGTGTGTTTATTTCACTTGCATACTTCATGGTGTTTACACACAAACTAATCAGATGTAAATATCTTCATGATAAGGAATTCATCTTGGGCCTCGTTGATGAAAGTCATAAATTTCCGACGTTAAGTGTCATATTTCCATAAGATGCAGGTCAGATAGTAAAGTCCTCGACCATAGTAAAGGGAGAATGTTAAAGGCGGGCGTACACGGTGCGATTTTTGCTGTCGTACGAGCTCGCAGGTGATTTTTTTTTATCTCGGGAGAAAATCGCAGATGCTCGCATGGTCGCAGCTCGTACCGTTTAAGAAGAATTATGGGCCGATCCAAGATGTTACGAGCAACTCCCGTCCTACCGATAATTTTCAAACATGTAAAAAAAATCTTGAACGAGATGATTTGGTGATCCATCTGAAGTTGACCAATCAGAAGATGACAAAAACTACATATTATGTATATAAATAGTCTATATAGTAATTTTTAGTTTAATTATACAGCTCTATTTTTTTATGTTATTCCGAATTGTGCCAAATTTGCCGTTCCGCTTTATGAATGAATATGCCTGTTGTATTTCTGGCAAAACGAGCAGAAATTACTCTGCCTCGAGTTGTTTATGAAGAACAGAAATTCCATGCTTTGGCTGAAATGCAGAGAATTCTCTTTGCCATGTCCTTCGTCTTCGTTTCTTTCTTTTCTTTTTTGGACGCCACAAGCCATAGCTGCCTGCCACAAAGAAAACTATTTCGTACTCAGAATCCATATTTTTATAAATGGCGTGAAACGTAATGCTTATGTCAGAGTTTGTAAAATCGTAGTAAATTTGTGTCGTGTGTGTGACTGCCTCTGTACGATTTTTGGTCTGGCAAAACGAGCAGAAATTACTCTGCCTCGAGTTGTTTATGAAGAACAGAAATTCCATGCTTTGGCTGAAATGCAGAGAATTCTCTTTGCCATGTCCTTCGTCTTCGTTTCTTTCTTTTCTTTTTTGGACGCCACAAGCCATAGCTGCCTGCCACAAAGAAAACTATTTCGTACTCAGAATCCATATTTTTATAAATGGCGTGAAACGTAATGCTTATGTCAGAGTTTGTAAAATCGTAGTAAATTTGTGTCGTGTGTGACTGCCTCTGTACGATTTTTGTATAAACTTAATCGTGACATGTGCGAGGGTTCACGACGTTCCGACCTTCAGAATCGCACAGTGTACGCCCGCCGTAATACTTAAAGCCAGTAAGATTTTTTTTAAGGAAATTAATATTTTTATTAAGCAAGAATACAATATTACAATTGTTATGGTATTTTGGCCTTGGCGAGCATTAGAGACTTCTTTCAAAACCATTATAAAAAATCTTACGGGCCCCAAACGTTTGAACGGTAGTACAAAATAAAATGTTACATAATTTTCTACATAAAACCAGGTAAAAATGATTCATAAAGTAATACTATTTGTATTTATTTTAAAATAATATTTTTTATTTTTTACATTTCTGACTGGATGTCTTTGTTAGATTTAGCTCACATCTGGGGACAATTCTGTAACCAAAGTGAATCCAAACATGCAGAATTATAATAAAACTGAAGCTGCTGAACATGAAGACAGAAACAGCACATGACGTGACAGAAACAAAATTAATACACATACTTTAACACGACTGAATCGATACTGCAAGACATGGACTGCGAGTGAAGCCGTCAGCCTGCATTCCTGCACTAAGAGTGTGTGTGCAAGATAAACACGCCGGACAGCCTGCAACGCTTCACTCGACTGCATTCAACACCTTTAGAATCTGCACCGTGTTTCCATTGCAAACACTGCACTGATATCACCTTTACCAGCAGAATGCTACAGATTTCCTAAAATCTCCAAATCACATTTACATTCATGCATTTAATAGATGCTTTTATCTAGAGCGACTTACAAAGATGAACAAAAGCAAATCTGTGCTTTTGGCACCAGTGTTGGGGAAAGTTACTTTTAAAAGGAATGCATGACAAAACTGCATTACTCCATAAAAAAAAGTTAGTTACGCTTTGTGGAATGTAATGCATTATGTTACTATAGCGTTACTTTTTGTCACCTTTTTAATAACAAAAAACTCAAAAGTTATATTTTTGGCAACTGTAAAGGTGCTTTCGCACCAAAAGTGAAAGCCTCAGGCTGCTCCCAATTTCTCTCAACATGGGGACAGGAGAGGTGTCAGTGAATAAATGGAAAAACAAAGTAACTTGAGTTACTTATTTGAAAATGTAACTCGGATATTTTGATGTCAATTTAAAAGTAATGCATTACTTTAACAGTTACTTGGGAAAAGTAATCTGATTACATAACTCGTGTAATGTGTTACCCCCAACAAGTGGGAAACTAAACAATTTCAAGAAGCTGCACAACACAAATGAAGTAGACATGAAAATTAGATTTTTTAAAATGTTTTATTGTACACAAGGCAAAAATGTAAGTCTGATCATCTAGAAAAGTAAAAGCACACCTTTCATGTCCATAGCATGCACTACAACATTAATACTTAAATTAGATAGTTCATCCAAAAAAAAAGCTAATTCTGTCCTAATTTTCTCACCGTCATGTTTTCCAAACCTGTATGACTTACTTTCTCCTGCTGAACACACAAGAAGATATTTGGAAGAATGTGGATAACTGAGCAGTTTGGACAAAAATACATTGCGGACCAGCAACTGTTTGGTTACCAACATTCTTCAAAATATCTTCTTTTGTGTTGAGCAGAAGAAAGAAATTCATGAGGGTGAGTAAATGATGACAGTTTTCATTTTTGGCTGAACTGTCCCTTTAAATCTAGTAATAAGGATGCAAACGGCACTAATGAAGTGAGGGAGGTGATCGTTCATCTGTGGGACGCAAGCATGCAGACCCTCTCCTCCCCCATAAAGACACTTCCTGAAGCATTCCAGCCCCGACCTGCAGTCAGACAAACAGCTGCGTGACGCTTACTGAACCTTTGGCCTTCTCCTACTCTTACAGAGCCTGCGGAGAGAGAAGGAGCCGACGAGGAGAGGAGAGACAAGACAGCGTCCCGTCACACACCCCGGTGAGTCTGACATCTACCTGTCTTGAATGCAAATGACACATTTTGGAGCTTGAACACAGTCTAAGGAGCCAGAATCGAGGAGATGCATAAACGATCTGGCGCGTGCAGCTTCCAAAACCACAAATTTGGCTTGAGTCGTAGCGGGAAAAAAACACAAAACACATCCTGTATCAATAAAACCCCCTCTCAAATCAGATTGAGAGCTTAATATAAAGTTGTCTAGTAAGTAAATGTGTGTTTGTCTGTGTAAACTATGCAACCATAAGGTAAATGTTTGAACCGGCGGTGCTCAGGTTCAGTTCCAGCTCTAATTGAACACACCTGAACCAGCCAATCAGGGTCTTTGGGCCTGTTTACCCTGTTTACATCTGGCCATTTCATGCGTTTTCGCTGATCGGATATCTATCTGATTTGTTAAAACGTTTCCATTTACACTTGGCCACATAAATGTGTCGTCGCAAAACGGATATAAATCCGATCTTCAATTCCCGCGCTATATTTCAATTTAACAGAGTTCACGTCAACGAAATCAAAAGATAAGCGCTGTATTTTATTAATTATCAGCTCATTTCAAGATCAAAGACCGCAATAGGAGAGCACGCGGCATCAGCACTGGAAAGATAAGTTTGTCTTACTACTTTTAATGAAGATGATTGTGTGTTGACCGTCTGCGTAGCCTATTACTTTGTTTCATTCGCGGCAGTTTGCGCGTCGGATTGCTGAAGAGATACTCAGCTACTAGTCCACAGCGATGTGTGTTGCATTAGTGCAGTCATATCTGACTATAATGTCATATAGCCTACACTGTAAAAAATGACCGTGAATTTAACGGTAAAGACTGTAAAAATGCTACAGTAAAAACCTGTTAAATGGTTAACGGTAAATTCCCCTACTATATATGGTGAAAAACTGTATTGGACATTAATTTTATGGTAATATACCGTTTTTGTAAGTGAAAAAGACCGTATAATTTACAGTGAATAACCGTAAATTGACATTGCCAAGAATTCCCTGCATTACATTTCAACATTTGATTTTTTTTTGTTGAAATATATTTGTTGTTTCTTCCTAGTTTTTTCTTATCAGTTTTGTATATTAAGGTTGTGTGTTACACCTGATGTTGTTTGCATTATTTCAGTTTCATGTGTGTTACCATGATGGTGTTTGGTGTTTGTGTGAATGACTCTGTGCACCTTCTATATATGTTATTATTTAAAAGCTGCTTGTGATGGGCTTTGGTTCATCATGTGACTTTCTCATCACCGCCTGCATTTGGTGGTTATCAGTGTATTACAAAGGTACAAAACAGATTTCAGTACTTCAATAGGTTGGTATATTAACCAGTTAATGAAATTACGGTATTTAACTGTAAATTTAAGTTAAATCCGTAAAACGTTGCTACCATATTTTTTACGGTACAATTCTGGCAACCACAGCTGCCGTTTTTTTACTGTAAATTTTACGGATTTTTTTTTTTTACAGTGTATAACACGCTCTCACACGTTTATTATATTACCATTTTGGGAGGAGTTACATTTAGATATGTGGTTTCAACAACCAGATGCATTTACACTTGTCCAGTTTTGTCTAGAATGCGGCCCAGACCACCTCCTGAAGTGGTTTGAGCGATCGGATTTATATCCGTCTCGAATGCATTTCGGAGGGCATTTACACTTGGTCTTTTCACGATCGGATAGCTATCCGATCAGACAAAACGCATGAAGTGACCAGGTGTAAACAGCCCCTTTGGGTTCAGTGGAAAATTACTACGCACTCGCTCTCAATTCACATACTTATACTATGTGCTAAAAGTTTGCTGGTTTTGAAAGTAATGTAATAACCCAGCTAACAGAAACACTGTATGTTAAAATAACATTTTCCTAATGTTCCCATTAAGTTATGAAAACGTTATTTCTGACATCCATGTTTTCTTCTTGTTTATGCGAACGTTAGAGAAAACATTATCTTTTTGCAAACATTACGATTACTTTCAAAACAAGCAAGCATTATGGTTACTCTGAAACAAGTAGTTAGTAATGTTTAAAAACTTTAGGCAAACATCAAACTTAATCTAAATAAATCTAAATAATGCTCTAAATAAGTAGTAACATTTAAAAATGTTAGTCAAGCGTCAGTCTAAACGTTTTTAACAAACATTCCATGAACAATGTATATACAACGTTTTTGTGCTAATGTTTTGATAAGGTTATTAAAGACCAGATAACATTTAATGAACCGTTCTATTAACGGTATTGGAAAGAATGTTTCTTCATAACATGAGAGCACCATTAAGTTATGAAAACATTATTTCTGAACGTTTAAAACGTCCAGTTTTTTTAAATGTTTTAAAAACGTTTTTCTTTGTTATGCAAATGTTATAGAAACTGAGTATTACTAAATTAGAGTGCTTGCAACTCCTAGATCATGGGTTTGATTCCTAGGGATGCATGAATGGATAAAATGCATTGCAAAACTAAAAAGTCACTTCGGATCAAAGTGTCTGCTAAATGTAAATGTTAAAAGGAAAAGCTGAACCTCAACAGAAAGGGGTTGTGGGTAATATAAGCTGAAAAGCGTGCATGCGTATATACTAGCACACAGTCTTCAACATGCTGTGATTTGGAATGCACCAAAACTCATCTTATACATCTAAACTGTAAAAAAAAAAATGTTGCTGCCTTAAATTAAGTACAGTCAACTTAGGTAAGTCATTTCAACTTAAATTACATTAAACTGACTTTAAAAAAAAAAAGAGTTGAATCTTGTATAACTTTTTTTTTTTTAAAGTTGAAAACTCCTTAACTAACTTTGATGAGTTAAAGTAATGTAAAAACATATGTTGTCATGGCTTATTGATCATACCATTTTTACAGTGTACTTTTAGGAACAGATTGCATACAAAGTGGGATTCATATAGACTTCCAGAAACAAGACTGACTAGCGATACTTGAACCTTCTGGAGCACTGAAACGGCCCAGTGTGCACTGGAGCTGTTAATAGTGAAAGCTGGTTAAAACTGCCCCTCTCTGCCTCCAGCTGTGGTTGTGTTTGTATAAAGGCGAGTGAGTGTCTAGTCGAGCTTATAAGCAAGTGCAGAAAAGGCATTTCACAGCCTGGTCGATATTTTATCTTATGTTATGTGAAGTATTATGTGTTGTGAGGTTCATGTACGAACACACAAACATTCCTGTAAATAAAGGAATTCTGGCTCAAGCGTACTGAAATTCTTCTCATTCTGGCATGAGCATCTGAGCATTAAAGCTGAAGTGGCGTTACTCAATACTTGGGCACATAGTGACATCCTGCTCGTATTTGTTTTACACCAAGCCTGCGAGTGTTCTGCTCCATATCCAGTTTCCCTGTGTACACGCCGCGGTGTGTTCGTGTTTGAATAAGTTGCTTGAGCAATCCTCAGATGTTTGCCTCGATGCATTACTGTCGTTTGCGCAAGAGTAGAGCGAAGGTGTTCAATTAGACCAGACTTGCTGCACAATGCTAAGATTTACCTAAGCTAAAAACACACAACAGAGCCGTGCACGTGAACACACACCCTGCGCATACGCTCCGATGTTTACACTATCATAGATGTGCCACAGTGACGTGTGACGGATACAGAGCATTTGCTTTCCATACATTAACCCTTAAACACTGAAGTAGAGTGAGAGACCACTTGTGCATGTCAAGGGCTGATCTTGGTGTGCTGACGGATGGGTGAGCGTGAAGAGGCTCATGGGATTGGTCAAATTGAATGTTTAAAGCAGGACAGAATGTTTATAGAGCACTTGCATAGCATGTCTGAGGATATTGGGAAGGAAGAGACCACTTTTTCCTTTGCACTTTTATGCTTTACGGCGCACACGGCAAAAAATGATTTTCATTTATATGTATTTATACATATATTAATAGATAAGATCTACAGTTGCTCTCATTTAACCCACAAATTCTAAATCATTTTCATTGCTGTAACATGAAAAAAGGGATTAATATATAACGTTCACATTATTTATACATAATGGTATAAGATGTCTTTACTCTTTAATGAATTGTAAAAAATAATTGAAAAAAAATCACTGCTAACGAGTGTGTAGATAAACAACAACATATCTGCCAATGGTGTAAAAAAAAGTGTTTTCCTTTTGAATCAAGTTTTTTTTTTATTTAATAAAAAACATTTTTAAGTATAAACTCACTTGATTTTGATAAATTTTTCAGAAAATCTTCAGTCATTTTGCATCTCAAATAAATGTATCTTTATTTAAGAATGTTTAGCTATTTGTACTGGAAAACGAAAATACTGGGATAGAATACAGTTTTTTTGTCGTTTTGTGATTGTATTTTAGGATACCTGAGCGCTAGAGAGTGTTACAGGTGGCAACATGTTGATAGGGCCGATGTTCTCGCATGGATGCTAACCACAGTCCGTAGCTGGTGGTGCATCTATCTCGTACATCTCAGCTGTCTGTGGGGTCTCATGGGCAAACAATGCGATCTATTGTAACCCATGAAGCAACAGACGGATCCGATTGGCATGTTTATCTTTTCCTTGTGTATAAGACGTGTGTGTGTGTGTGTGTGTGTGTGTGTCTGGGTTCTGGAAAACGGCCCCAGGGCAACCAGACTTGAAAAATCACCAACGGAAAAGAGGCAAGTTACACAAGCAGGTTATCGGTAGGCAAACATCACAGTCGGCTGGAATGAGGAAAAACGCAGCCTTCCAGGTGCTGTCATCAGTAACACATAAAGACATTCCAAGACAATTGCATGTCGTGATGAGCTCTTGACTTTCAACAGTCAGCGCTCATGTGATGTGGCCAACGTGAATCTGGAGAATGATCGGTTTTAAAAAATAAAATAAAAATATTTATATAATAAGTGTGTGTGTGTGTATGTGTGTATGTATGTATGTATGTATGTATGTATGTATGTATGTATGTATGTATGTATGTATGTATGTATGTATATATATATATA